GCCTTGTTTTTTGGAATGAACACATCCGAATTCAAACTTTACTTTATAAATCCATTTACCCCAATGATTCCTTCTTGTGGTCTTTCAACCAATTCCATGTGTTTTCTTCTCAATGATTTCATTTCTCTTCCATTGCTTTCTTCCAAGCTTCCTCTTTAATTGCTTCTTCAAAACTTTTATGTTTCGCTAACACAAAAATTGCATCTAGCATACACATCACTCAAAACTCCCAATCTTTTTTTGGAGTTGAAGCTAGGTGAGGATGAATTAAAATTTGACTTGAACTTGGAGAGAGCTGGAAGATGATGATAAACCTTGCCCTTGGTGAGGATTGATGTGAATCTTCAATTATTTTCATCTCATATGTTGAATTTTCTTGCTCCTCATTAAAACTAGGACAGTATTGCTTCTCAATTTTACCTTCCTTCCAATTCCACGAAGCATTCCAACAAATAACTACATCCCGGCTGATTATTATCTGATTTTTCTTTAAGCTATACAATTGATAACCCTAGGATTTGCTGCTATATCCCACAAAGAACATTTCTCACTTGTTTCATCTAATTTGCTTTTTTTCCTTTGGAAACTTGAAGCATAGCAAACACACCAAATACTTGAGATGTTTTTACTGATGGCTCATCATCACTTCTAAAGCTCTAATGGGAGTTTCGTTCCAAATGGCTTTGGTAAGGACACCTTATTTATCAAGTACACTGTTGTGTAAACCAGCTTCAACCCAAAAAACCTTTGATATCCTTTTCATCGCATCATAGATTTGGCATATTTCCATCACCATTTGATTCTTTTTTTCGAATACACTCCATTTTGTTGTGAGTATAACCTACTGTTAGTTGTCCTTTCTACAAACCTTCATTTTTCACAAATTTCCAAACTCTTTAGAGTTGTATTCTTTGCCATTATACTCTCTCAAAGTCTTTATGTAGTGCCCACTTTGCTTTTTCCACTATGCTCATGAACCTCTTGAAAATAGTGAAACATTCAAGATCTTTCCTCCATGGAATACACCCATGTCATCCTTGCCATAGTCATCAAAAAGAGAATAAAAGTACTTGTTTTGGGCATGGGAGGGAGTTCTCAAGGCCACAACCATCGTCTGAACTAACTCTAACATTTCTTTGGCCTCTCCAAGCAACTCCTTAGGAAAAGGTTACCGAGATGCTTCCCAAGTGCACACCCCTCACAAACATCATGTATTTCCTCAATATTGGCAATCCTTGGAACCAATATTCTTTTGGTGACACTTTGAGACTATGAAAATTCAAATGCAAGTCTTCTATGCCAACAACCATGACTCATATTCATATGAGCTTTCAAAGCACATTTCTAGCATAGTTAATGTGGAGCGGGAAGCTTCGATTTTCTCCATTTGAATTTTTTGCCACCACTTGCTTGTAATTCTGTCAGAATGATTGCAGCTTCAAAATGGACTACATATCCATGTTCACAAGTTGTCCAACACTTAGCAATTTTGCTCCAAGTCTAGAACAAGCAGCATATCATGAAAAACTTACTCCCTTCTTTGTTTCACTCTATGTTCCTTTTTTTCTTTGTATTTACAATATACCATTTCCCATTTTAACTTGAGAGCAAATTGAAGTGTCCGTGTCCAAGGAAAATAGACTTATCAACCCGTCATAGATTGTTACACCTACTATCAAGGTACTAAACATCAATTTGTGTTCTGAGGCTGCTTGACATGCATAAAAATAAGTTTCCTCTCCTCTTTCTCCCTCTAAAAAATTAGTGCTTGTTTGGTTGTTTCTCAGAAAAATATTTTGGAAAAAATTCTCTACAAACAAAGTTTTCAAAAGTAAATCAACCAAACAATTTTTTCAAAAAAAAATCTCAAAATTTTGTCTTGGTTACCTACTTTCCAAATCACTCTCTCTCTCTCATACACATCAAATCAATCACTTTTTTAAAACTTTCCTCCAAAATAATTTTCCAAAACCAATTTCTGAAAAAAAGGCAAACCAAACAAGTTTTTCGTACTTTTTATCTCAAAAAACTACTCTACAACACAGACCAAAACACACCCTAGCTTTGTTGATTGCTCTTAACTTTGCATCCTTTTTGGAGGTGGCCAAAATTCTTGCATTTATAACAATGTGGTTTCCCTCGGAACCAAACATCCTTCTCTAGATGATTTCCTCTTTCACAAATTCTGCACGTTCTTGTATTTTCCTTTCACACTTGAACTTCTATGAATGTCTCTTCTACCTCTTCCCCTTGATGAATTTCTTCCTCTACTCTTCCTCTTCCCTTGTCTACCACCTCTTGATGATCCCCTTGTTTGTTCATTACTTGATGATTTTCCATGGCTTTTAGAATTCAAATTAACTTTTGATTGGAATGCACTCTCCAACCTTCTCTGATTTTTTTAACACCTTTGTTCATGAGCTTTCAAAAAGAACCCATCAATTCTTGGACACTCATTAATAGAGAATATCCTTTGTTTCTTCAATTATTCCCACCATTATGTTATATTTTTCGGTAAACAACCAGAATTTTCTTGACAATTCGTCTTTTGTTCAACTCTTTACACCATAGATTTCATTTGAATTGAACAATCTCCATCAGTTAGAAAAAATAATCAGTTAAAGTTTTAGATTTTTTCATCGTCAAATACTAACTCCCTTCTAAGGTGTTGGAGTTTGATGATTCTTGCCTTCTGTCTCCTTGAAATTCTTGTTGTAAAATGTCTCATGCTTCCTTTGATTTCTTAGCTTCAATGATTCTTGGAAACAACTCATCAGAGAGGTGCTTGTTGGATGAAGAAGGAGTGCTTTAGCATCCTTTTTTCTGGTTTCCTCTAGTTGCTGTTCTTGTACTGAAGTTAATGTAGTTGTTGAATCGGGTTATCATCACCCATTTTGTACCAAGTTCCTAAACGTGGACTGAAATAAGGTTTCAATCCTCACACACCAATAAATCATAATTTTCCTCCAGCAAAAATGGGCATAGATGGTTGTCAGATACCTATACTTTGGTTGCTTGTGTTAGCCATAGAGATTTTTTGCAAAACCCACTTTTCTTCTTCACACACCTTATATTTCAGCCCTCTTTTCAATCTATGCTTCCACTTCGAACTAGGCTTTGATAATCACTATATGTTGGGTGTTTTGGAAGCAATTGTGTGTTTAAACACAAAGAAATCAATCTAAAAACACACAAAACCAGATCTGATTTTTCCTGCAAAAAATAGGGAAGAAGAGGAGCAAACAAGGGGAGAAGAGGGTCATTTTTACAGCCTCTTCAGCAAATTTTCTATTAACTTTTTAGCTTCCCTTACAAGGTTTTATATATGAAATTATATCAACCCAAGTACCAATAAAACATCTGGACAAATTTCTTCCACATACATTAACTCTTAATTAACAAAACCAACCAAAACACTAACTAGAATTAAATAAGCATAGTGATTGTCACGCCCCAAGCTCCGTGAAACGCCGCACACTCATTTAAGTGAGCATGCAAGGCTAAGAATCCAACACATAACCAACAATGTAAAATACTCAAATTAAATCCTTAAATATCATAATGCTAAAAACCATACAAATAGATAATTCTTATCATATGAAATTGTCCACCAAGTCCACTAATAAAAATAATAATAATAATGATCCAAATACTTAAATCATAGTCCTACTCTCGGCACTCCACAAGTAAAAACCCTGCACAGCTCTACTCTCAGAATCTGAAAAATAAAATAAGGGTAAAGCTAGACAGCCCAGTAAATAACCAACATCACTATTAGCTGGATCAAGTATACAAAAAAAAATAGTCGATAACCAATAAATATATTTTTTGCTACCATTCAATAAATGAACAATTATTTTGTAAGATGGTTCGTATTGAAAATAAACAGTGTAGCAATACATTTTAATTGAAAAACATGAGGTAATCGATGAAATTTCGTTGTTCAAAATTGATAGGTTCGATATTGAAATGGTTCAATGATGCAATTCACAAAACCCAGTCTTGGTGACTACGGTCACTTAGCCCGTGACAAGGCCCAGAACCACACATAGGCCGGTGGTAAAGCCCAAAAGAAACTAGTTTCTGTGCCAATATAAACCCCCATTGGCTAGGGTCCAAATCATAGTCAGACTAGAGTGATGTAAAATTCAAACAATACACACAACTTTCAAATAAAACATTCGATATTTTTAGAATAAATTTAGTACAATTTTCAAAATAGTTTCATCAAATATTCAAATAATTTTCATAATAATATTCGATGTTGTTTTATACTTGACCCATATTTTATTTTAAGAGAACATGAAGGATATAAATAAATATTTATGATTTTAAACGATTCGATAGGAATAAAAATGAACCAACAGTGATAGAGGGTTACTTACCTCAAACGCTTAGAAATAACACTCCAACACCAACTCCAAACACCCAATTTCACCACTTCAATCACACAAACCTAATAAATAAAACCTCAAATAAATTAATATTTTTTACATGTTACAAACACCCACAAAAGCACCACTATTATAGATTAATGTATTACTTTAATATCCAAGAGATCAACCATTCAACCCAACTTTATAGCCAAACACCCTTTACCATGATACAAAACTCCATTGTTTCTATTACCCACCAAACTTACACTTACACATTGCAACCAATTCTCAAAACCTAAGTAGGCACCTATAGATCTTCCAAATCTCCTTAATGCATTGATTGTTAAATTCCCTCAACATAAACTTAATAATAACAGTAAAGACAGATTTTACCTTAACCAATGGGTGTCCCAAAATCACCAACTTCAATCCCTATTG